AAATACCTGTCTTTCATTCATGTGCTATACAGCAAATACCTGTCTTTCATTCATGTGCTATTCAGCAAATACCTGTCTTTCATTCATGTGCTATAAAGCAAATACCTGTCTTTCATTTATGTGCTATACAGCAACAAACCTGCAACTTGTTTTCTCAAAAAACCTAAACCTATAGTATGTTCATAGCTAGCTGAAGCATGGCTGCAACCAAGTGAAGGCATGCAAAAAAATACAGCCATAAACCTCTCAAACATAATGAAATAGCATGAACCCAAAAGCCTTCTTGTTGCTTAGCCCATCCATTCTCCAGCAGTCCTCCACATCTACCTATACAACTGCCCCGCTGAATTATCCAGGGCTGCCAAGGCTAATGAGAATCAGCTAGCTTTCATTAAAGAGGTTACCTTCAGGCTCAGAGTTGGTGGTCCTTTGCCATGGTAACACAAAAGATCATCCAAATCTGGCTCTGCGCCGTTACGCTGCCTTTCCCCGTCACACATTTATTCAATTCAATATGTACAAAAAAGCATAAATCAGCATGCTTCCAAGTCATTTAATTTTTTAGTTCCAAAAATTAAACTAAGCATTTAAAATATTAATATAAAAATATTAATTAATCCTTAATTAATTAAATATTTAATTGTCAAAGTCATTAAGCTGAGAGACCTAAATGAATGTAGGTATACAAAAAAGCCATAGAATTAATTGAGTATCTCCTCTCTCAGCCTGTGTCAGCTTTGTTGACGAAGTAATGAATTTCCAGTGGATATTGAACGTTTAATCACCAGGGGCCTTTAAAGCAAGTCATAGATAAAAGAAATTGAAAAGCACAGTTTGGAATACTGTTAAAAATAGTCAATATGAGGGGAGTTTCCTGCAAACCCTGTTTTCTCAATCAAGAAATGGGATGCACCTTACACAAGCTGATTCAGTCAGACTGTCACTCTAAACTGAGCAGAACGGAATGAATTGAGGCCAATGGCAGCTTTGAAAGAGCCGCTGAATCAAACTGGGAATACCAGTCAGCCATATCGAGAACATTCCAGAAAATGATGGCAAGAACTGTGTCATTGCTAAAGCCAATTTAATGCCCGCATGTACATTTAAAAGTTGTTTTACAGTTATGCACGTTATCTCAAATACATTTTTAATAATCTATAGATTTTATTTATATCTAAGTTGCTCTTTTATTTGCTTTATAAATAATCTACATAATATAGTCCAAGAGCTGCAGCACCTTCAAACTACAATTATACTACAAAATTTAAGATATAATACTGTAGAATAGACAAGAACTCTGAATCATGTGGTATCTCATTAATATTGGACCATTATGCTTAAGATTGTTATGCACTGTGATTATTAAATTAATTTAAAAATAGCATGTTTGTTAATGCATTCATACAGTATAATTAGTTGAACTTAATATTTAATATTGCACAGATTAGGTATTATTATTATTATTATTATTATGAACAGCAGTTGGTGCTCAAAGTATTAAAACTTTGAATATAATGTGTCAATGACATACCCATTCTGTTTAGTCAAATTTATAATTGCATTGGATAATCGATCAACGTCTCACCTTTGTGGTCATCTTCAGGACAACCTGTCTGTCTATATCATAATCGATCTGTGTTATAGAATGCTAACCTAAGAACACTGAGGAGAATATGAAGCTTCTTCTAGACCTGAGGCTCTCATGTTGTAAACCATGCATTAGACAAAACAATGGCACTTATGTAACAGTCTTGATGAGGACCAGAAAATGTAGCTGTCTCCACATCGAACCTGCGCTACACTTTCAGCCAGGCGCACTTTTCACAGAGCCTCTCCTTTCACCACCTTAAATAGCAGTAGTACTCGTCCAAATATAGCTGTGGCAGCCTTCAATAGCTTTTGTCAGGAAATACCTTGTTTTATCAGTGACAGCCCACTGATATATCCACTGACTTGCTTTCCCAGCTCCTCATCTTCTCTCATTTTCATTATCTACAGTTACTCCTATCAGTCTCCCTCCCACTGATTCTGGATTTCATGCAGGTCAGAAAATAAAGGGTTTAGTTGAATCAGTAGGTCAGTACAGTTTTGTATAAATAGTCGTTTCCAGTCTTTCCAGTCCAGTATTTCCTGCAGGAGGCCATCAGAACACAGAATGCATTATATACATCACACAATAGTACAATACCCTACACTGTAATGAGTATAGTGGTGCTGTGCTTTGTTACATTGGGGAAGGCATTTTTGAACCACTACACTGCAAAGCCACAAGGTTCCAGGGTTAATTAAATATGCGAGTGTTGTTCTGGATTCTATGACAAGCAATGCATTGAGAATAGAGTCAATGGTAGTACTACTTGAGACCCAGCTTACACAGTAGAAGGTGATATTCGCAAGATATGTTTATTGAACAAAGATAGCAGATCCTTAAGTAGCAAAATTCTGAAGTGGTGAATCAGTTGTCCATCATGTTACAGGGCAGATCTTGATATAGGACATAAGGTCTTATGATGTAAGGTCTTGCTGTTTCCTTATCTATTTCCTTATCAGCCTGACTGTATTGTGAGGTTAGGTTTCATCATATGTTATACTGGGGAAATCAAAAAAATCAAACTGTAGATATTAAGAGACTCACTGAGGTTGTCATCAAGGCCAACATAATGCTTGATGGCGGCTTTTGGTAGCAGCACGCTGGTACCGTCCCAAACCACAGTGAATTCCGTGTGGAGTTAGGGAAACATATGGATGGGCAACATTTTGGGTTATTCGCATTTCAGATCATGGGTATTTATCCCGGTATATCACTGTACATCAGAGCCAACAGGAACTGATCCAAGATGTGTTTAATGTGGGGAAAGTAAGGGCAAGATAATCTCTGTAATTCGAAAACACGAGGGGAAATAACAGAACCACAAAGTGCTTTATATGTGAAAAAGAGAATAAGATCCCAGTCTCGTGTATAAGGCTGGAGGTGAATAAGGAGAGCAATGCAGGCATCTGCGTTTGAGCTGCCAAAATTAAGGGGAATAATAATAATAATAATCATAATAATAATAATAATAATAATAATAATAATAATGTCAATACTATGTAATAATTCACAAAAAAAGTTGTGGCTAAATGATCACACAAAAATATCTAAATCAGATCAAATCAAATTTATTTATAAAGCATGTTTAAAAATAGCGAATGCTGACCAAAGTGCTGTACAATCATAAAATGTTTGAATAAATACTATAACATTAATAGCTATCATAAAATTTAAATTAAAATACATGCACTGTGGGCTCACTTATACATATACATAAAATGCCAAAATTAAATCAAACAGCAATAAAACAAGAGAAAGGAATGAAGTGTCTCTAACCTCTGTAAAAAGTAATGATTTAAGAGTGATAAATGAGGTGGCGATTCTGATATGATATGATAAGTTGTTCCATAGAGAGGAAGCAGCAACTGAAAAAGCCCAATCACCCCCCCGTTTGCACCTCCATCGTGGAACCTCTAAATCAGAAGACAGGTGGGAAAAAAAATGTTGAATATTTTAACACTGTTATGATAGTGACATATTAGGTTATAAATGTTTATTAGCTTAAACCTACAGTATCTATATAGCAATCCTATCCATTAAAATATAGACTTGTGTTTCAAACTGAAGGAATCCTCAACCAACTAGTTTACCAATGGACTGGCTATTAACTAGCGATTATCAATTAGCCCTCACCTTCCTCTTTGAGACAGCAAAATACATCTGCAAGCAAAACTGTAGTTAATTTAACAGTACTAGTTAAACAGGAATATGATCAAAAACAAAAAGAAAATGTTCTCTGAAGTACCTTAACGCGTTTCCATTACAGACTTTATTTTGAAAAAATCAGGGAGTCTTTGGTCTGTCAAATGAAGGCATGAAGCCATCCGAGTTGCTGCAATACACAGCAAAGTAGAGAGTGAGTCACGGGTAGGAATTCTTTCCATGTTTTCATCACTGAAGGAGGTAGCTGATAGTGCAGGGCTCACAGCCAATGTGACAAGTGCAATACTTGGACACTCTGAATGTCGATTTCGCAAGTGCTAGCTGAGTTCTGGCAAGGGCATAACACAAAGGTGTGGGTTTTGGTCAAGGTGAAGGCTCCAATGGCTTAATGAAGGCTTACATGACATAAGGCCTATCATCCAGCTTCAGTTTGTGCTACTGGTGACGAGAAACACGCCAGTAAGGCTATTGCAACAACACCTCTGTGTATAATGGATTGTCCTGCCTTACATACCTGAAAACAAGCTTCTGTTACATTTTACAGTCAGAGTGAACTGAGGCCTGTCGTCCGTCGTCCCCAAAGAGTATCAGCTGATGGATGTTTTTAAAATCTCTGATGGGCATCACATTCCACTAACTTTGGTAATTTGATGTTGATATATTCCCATTGCCCAAATCTGCATGTGTGTATGTGAGTGTGTGTGTGTGTATACATATACATATACATATATTTGTGTACTATATATATTTGCACAATGTATATGTATACTGTGATGGGCTGCCCCCCATCCTGGGTTGTCCCCCGCCTCGTGCCTGTAGCTTCCGGGACAGGCTCCGGACCCCCCGCAACCCAGAAGGATTTTGAAAACTAAGTAAGAATATAGGAGAATGTGACTGAACATGGATGGATGCGTGTGTGTGTATGTATGTATGTATGTATGTATGTATGTATGTATATATATATATGGCAGAATAGCATCATTCATGTTTTCATAATAATTCATGTGCTTCATAAATATATTCTATTTAATTCCACATTGGTGATACACAAATGTATGAATGAAAAGAGTTAGGGGAATTATTTTCAAGAGTCTACATATTTTATTATTTACACAAGACATTTACTAATTCACTACTTATCTAATTCTGTCTCAATATATGCTTAACTGTGAATCTAGAGAACATAAAGTACAGCTCCTGATGATTGTTATATCAATCCAGAACCAAAGGTCAAGAGTATGTAGCAAAATAGCTGTTAATAGCACGCAGGGACCTATTCAGTGAGGTGTTGGCAGAATGCTTCATTATGAAGACAGCTCTATTTCAAGATTCCTCCATTTATGGCAACATATAATGCTAAATAGCATAGCAGGACACAAGCCCCACCCACACAGTCGGTCCAACAAGATAAGGCTCACTATAAAAGCTTCCCACGACTTATGTCATTTCTACTCCACACATATTTCCACTTTGTACTGAAGCTGCTACAGTTAAGTGGAATGGCCCCCAAGAAAATCGAGCCCAAAAAACCAGAACCCAAGAAGGAAGCACAACCTCCTCCGAAACCAGCCCCTCCACCAGAACCAGAGCAACCCAAGGCGCCTGAGTTTGATCCGAAGAGTGTCACTATCGAATACGCACTCGACCAGATCGAGGAGTTCAAGGAGGCCTTCAGTCTCTTTGACCAAACACCCACAGGAGAGATGAAGATTACCTATGCGCAGTGTGGGGACGTGATGCGAGCCCTGGGCCAGAACCCGACGAATGCTGAGGTGCTGAAGGTCCTTGGCAAGCCACGCCCTGAGGACATGCACAGCAAGATGCTTGACTTTGACACCTTCCTTCCAATGCTCCAACATATCTCTCGCTCCAAAGACCAAGGAACCGTAGAGGACTTTGTCGAGGGCTTAAGAGTATTTGACAAGGAAGGCAATGGAACCGTCATGGGAGCAGAACTGCGGCACGTCCTGGCTACCCTTGGAGAGAGGTTGACGGAAGATGAGGTGGAACGTCTCATGGCTGGTCAGGAGGATGTGAATGGGTGCATTAACTATGTTTCTTTTGTCAATCACATCATGGCTGGATAAGAGATTCAGTTCAATTTTCATGTAACCAGAAACGTTTTGTCAAGGAATTTTCCCACTATACTCATCTATTAAGAAATACATATTTGGACAATGTACCTGATTAATTTTTTATATCCCCACATATTTCCTTTTATTAAAATTGTATTTTGATTCTATATTTCCAATTGATTATGAAGTGCAACTGCAGAAAACCCTGCTTTCTACAAAGACATTCTCTTGACTGTAAAACAATAAATGTAAATTAACTGTTACCGCAGTCTTGACTATCCTTAATTTTTCATGATGTATGAATCAAGCAAGGTAGTAGTTTAAACTGCATCCAATTTAATTTTATATAATTTACACAATTTTATAACCTCATAAACCTAATTACCTAATAAAGATATATAATTAACCATAACCTAATAAATATATATAGTATGATGTCCAAACTCAGACTGCATATGATGCAATTTAAAATGCTCTTGTGGGTTACTGCTTTGTTTTCACACTAAAAAAACAGGTCTAGTAGCGAGCCTTCAGGGATGACATAAAAAAGCTTATTTAACTGACATTAGCATAAGTTGATTAAACATTGTTTTAAGTTAAGTCTAAAGTAACATTCTACAGTGAAATCCTGAAGCTATGACTTCAATTGGCATCCTGCAGAAAAATGCTAAAACTTTTAGGCAGTAAACCTTTGCACAACTTTTCCATCACTGATGGCAGACTGTCTCGAGCTCTTTGTGATATACAGTGGTACCTCGGTATACGTCCGCTTTGGAATAATTCCAACTTGGTATACGTCCTGTTTGGATGCAAAATATTTTGCTTGGTATACGACCTTTGTTTGGAATACAACTTGCGTGCTAGAACTTGGGTCAAAATGAGTCATAACACCGCGCGCTACCCTTTACCTCCCTCGAGACAAAGCCATGACTGCCCACGTATGTCAGTACACCAGTTGCTACCATTCAGTGAACAACC